TTTTTTTTTTTTCTTTTCACAATTTTGGTATAATTCCTGCTGTAAGTGGGTCGCTTTGTAAGCTAAATACACGTTTTTGAGTCTCTATACTATAAGGCCGTCAGTGAAATCCTTTAAAAATCAACATTTCAAGCCAGTAGTGTTATTGGATATTTTGATGGCAAAAATTTATGTCAAAGTAATAACAGGAAACGCCACAATGCCTGAATATTTTAAGAAAAATAACAAAAGTGCTTCTATAAGAAATTCATGAAAAACACTCAGAGTGAAAGAAACACATTTTTTTTTTGGTACAACAAAACCTTAGATGCATTAATGCTGATCCTGGCACTTACATTTTTTACTTTATAGACCTAAATATAATTGTTAACTAGGCTTATTAACTTTTTAACTTTACTTTTTAACTTTTTACCTTTTTTTATTGGCTTTTTTTTTATTCCAACTTAATTTCCAGTAGGTAATATATCATTCAAGGGCTCATCTAATTGGTCAAGTGCCAAAATAAGATGTACAGCCATGTAGCAGTATCTTTGTTGATTGGCTTGATATAGATCTTGTGCTTCTAGAACTCACTGAGGGATGGGGTGGAAATGATTTGTAAGGGGTATGCAAGTGATCTAAAATGGTAACTTGCCCTATAAAGGGTTAACGATTAATCGATTACTAAATTTATCAATAATCGATTATTCTGATGAATTGTTTCAGCCCTAGATAAAATACATGAAATAGCTACATACATCTTGGATGTATAACTTATTTATTCAAGTTAATATGTGAAATGATCAGTGTCAGTTCCTCTTCTAGTTCCAGTGCTAATGTGAAAACAATAAATTTATTTTGCATCCCTTAAATCTATAATTTTGCTTTGTTTAATGATACAAAGAGAATATTTAAAAGATAAGAGTGTAGTTTACCTCTGTTTACCTCTGCACAATTCTATATCTTCAAAAGAAACAAAAGGATAAATCCACATATAGCAGACATATTAAGACTATATTCTGTTAAATAAGTACAGATTCACCTACTGTCTTAGTTGCTGGTAATTTCAAATGCAAACCTTTTCAAAGTGGAAAAAAGTCCTAATTCCTCATTCATCAGAGACAGTTATGCTTCAATGATTAACAAACAGCATCTAGTGTGTGTAGAGCTTATAAAATTTGTATAAATGTAGCAAGAAATGTTGCTTTTCTCTTAAAATGAAATACATCCTGATTTTCACCTCAAGCAGAAAAAAACGAGCATGCATGTTTTTACATCAGACCAATAATGTCCCTACCAAAGTAGAAATCAGACTCACTCCCTTGCATTGAGGCACTGTTTAGGCAATAAATAGAAACAAATATCATTCACTGGGCAAATCATTAAAAAAATAAAATAAAAATAAATATGGCCTTATTACCGCAACGGTCGAAGCTGTATATTATTAGCCATAAGAATGGTAGATAAGGAACTTTAACCCTACTAGGTACAGGAGGCACAGTCTGCAGGGATTGAATGGGACTGATTATCTCTAATAACAGCCATTTAATGGGCTGATAAAATCCCCTGCTGGTAGTTAGACAAGGTTTTGGTAAACTAGCTCCATGAGAGGCTCTGTCTGGAAAAGTTACCTTTAAACAGGTGAGCAGTAATACATTTTCTTTGACAAAGGGATGAAAGAACACATACAGTTTGCCACAATAACAGCTGAGCGCTTATCTAGAATCTGTCTATCTCTAGAAAAGAAACAGTGCAAAAAGACGCCAGCAGGTGGCAGTATTGAACCAGTGCATAAAACAACTTAAAATATTGTTGTTGTTTTTTGTTTTGTTTTAATCTTCCTTATGTGGGACCCATACCGAATCCATTTCTCATTAAAGAAATTATTCTTTTATTCATTTATTATTCTATTTTTTTAAACAATGAAATGCCTTCTTAGTCTTTGTATTACCATGAATTGCTGTTCGTCCATGTTTGCTATCTGTAGATTAACACATTACTATTTGCAAATATTTTACATTTTTGTGAATAATTAAGCACCACTTTCTCATATGTGTGAGATTGATTAAGGAGTCCATTGAGAGGCTACTGTTATGCAATGTGGCTCTGTATGGGCAGAGGACTTCAGTCCACACCTAGCTGCAGTGAAATAGAATGTTATAAAAATTGTCTCCATAACATAGAACTATTTATTTGATAGCAGGTTTGCAATGGCCATATTTTGAGTTTTTAAAGGAATTCATCTTCTGATTGTGTCTCAATGAAAGATAAAAAATGCTTACATAAAGTTTAAAAACATCTACCTGTAAAAATTATATTATTCAGGATTAATGCTTTTCAAACTACCTCCTTTTAAATTACTGAGACCCTTAAAAATCCCTTTAATTCTGAGCTCTATTTCAATTCAATTTAGTTTATTTATATAGTGCCAATTCACAACACATTTCACCTCTAGGCACTTTACAATATAACCAGATCATACATTCAAAATGATTCAAAGTTTTCTATCTAAGGAAAA